TCAGTGTGAGTGTGGTTGGTGGAAATGAAACGAATACATGCTTTTGGAAAAGAAATCTGCCAGTATTCATTAGGCTTTATTTACTTTTTAATAGGGGTTTCATTTAAGGAATGGATAAACATACTTGTATTAGAGGATGTTTATTTTGGTGACATTTATGGTACCAAAGCATTGGAAGTAGCATGAATGCTGTATAAATAATTCTGTCATTGTGATTGCTTATAATGGAATAGTATGCAGCCATTACATGCCATTACATGCACGTAAGTTTAGAAATGGAGGGAAAAAGGTAAAAGAAAGTACTCACAATAAGTTATCAAAAGCAAAGGCTGAACAACAAATTGGCATGGAATGACCACAATTTTGATGAAACAAACTTTGAAACACATCTTTAAAGAAACCAAAAAGCAAATGGCCTATAAGTAAAAGAGAAGGCAGCACCTGCACAGTGCAGTCTTGGCTGACCATTGATGTTCTCTCTGGTGCCTTTTATTATCAGGTTCCATGTTTACAAAACGAAAAATTGTTTTTCTCGCCATCTAAACAGGAAAATGTTGATGCAGCTTGGAAGTTACCCTTGTTGGTATTAACTTTGCAATTACCCCCTTAGAGATTCTGATGTTTTCAAAATGCAATTCTTTTCAAGCAGAAAGCTGTATTAATTATTCAAAGTCATGGGAATAAATATAATCTAATTGGCATGTAGGCTATTGCTTAGTATCTAGGGATATTAGACTACTTAAAGTTTGAGTGGAAGAGCTTGATTTCCAACAGTGTTTCCCAAGTCATCTACCTCAAATCCAAGCATTAGCTTGTCTCTCTGTCATTGAGGTAATGACATGCTTAAAGGAGGCATGAAGCAAATTACAGTTATAGGTAGCTCAGCTCCAAGAAGTTGCAGGGTCATTTATCTTTGTGGGACCACTGATATGTCTAGCAGTCCTTACCTGATACTCACCTAGTGTAAATGTGACTAAACTGTCAGAGGGGTATGTGAGAAATGCTTTAATTAACTACAGCTATAGCCTAGGGAATAGATCTATCAATTTCTGCCCAATAACAGAGATTTAATGGAGATATGATAATGGAAGCTGTTTTTCATCTAGATGAAATGTTTTAGCAGCTTTTTGGATAGTTCTTGAGTAATATACACAGAGATGTTAGTTTATTTTCACTTACGCAAATATTCAGTATGGCATGATAAAGTGCATTTGCTGCTGAAAATTTCATAATGCTAGGTTACGTTAAAATGAGATCGCATGTTTTGATAGGTAAAAGTCAGCAGTTTTACACCTCCATTTTTGTCACCCCAGTCTTTTTTATATTTAATTCAAATGCTACTAGCTGGATGCTGGCTCAAACACAAATTGCCTAGGCTTGTGTACATGTTAATGCCTGCAAGTGGATGAATGGGGCTGTGAATCTTTCTCCTGAATTTACTTGACCTATATATAAATTGTTCTTTAGACTTAATTAGAATTTTTTGTCATTGTAAGCAGAATTGCATTCAGGCTTTAAATTCAAATTCTCCCTTGCAGCAGGCAGGGCATACATGCATTTTGCCTCTACAGGAGCTGGGATCTCAGTGCACTTATTTAGACTTCACTGGGAGAGTTCCTGGGTAATGGAGAGGTCATATGATTCGCTATGCCAGTGGGAGGGCACAGATGCATTTGGCTCTACCCTCTTCTAAGATTTCAGATCCTTTGTTAGACCTGACAGTATGACTGATTTAACTTTGAGAGGAAGCAGAAGAAATTTTACTAACATTTCATAGATAATTACTGGAAGAATATTGTTCTATTTATTTAGGTGCCTTTTAATTTTCTTCTTAGATGGGCAAGATTATAATTATGTGATGTCACACAATTTGTAGCATTCCTTAAGGAAAATAAAATCTGCAGCATGAGCAATGTTTCCCTTTGAGGATTATAACATAACTTTCCATTTGTAGTAGTTGAATTCTGCAATTCCAGAGAGATATCTTTTATTTTGCTTATTTATTAGATTTTTTTGTGAGAAAGGGTGCCACTATATAACCCAAGCTGGTCTCCAACAGCTGAGCTCAAGGAATTCTCCTGCCTCACCCTCCCAAATAGCTGGCACTCTAGGTCTGTGTTACCATGTATAGTTTAGACTTGGTTTCTATGTATTTTTACTATTCTAAAACTGTTATATTTGAATATTAGATTAAAGTGCAAAAATTCTCTGAATTATGAAATTAGACTTTGTCAAGTATGTTCATACCCTGATAATATCACATTGGGGCACTATTAAAATAGTTTATGTTGATGGTAGGTATGTATGAAGTTTTGTAATCTGTGTGTCCTACCTTGTGTCTTAAAGGTAGTTTACAGGATCAAAATAGTTTCCTATATTTTAGTAGGGAAATACTGATTTGGTATAGTTGTTCAATAAAATTATATGTAAGGTTAATTATCTTTTTAACAAGAATTCACTAAACACCTATGTGCAGATCACTTGGCGAATTCCAAAGAAGTGAGAAATCTAACACCTAACTTTCCAAGGGCCTATTTCCTAGCTGGGGATAAAACAACCATATCCATTAAATTCCGAGTAGCAATACATGCTATCTGATTGCCAGACAGAGAAGTACTATTATGAAAGAACAAAAGGAAAGGAGATCCTTGTGCTGACTGTGATGGTGGTAGGGTAAGTTGGAAGTTCACTTGGAATTTGACCTGGAATGACGCTGAGAATGTAACTGGGCTGTAGAGATGGGAGAGGCTGGAAGAACTGCTCATGAGCTTAGAAGACAAGGATCAGATTGAGGCCCAAGATTCTTGTTGAGGAGTATTGAGTATTAGAGAAAATACCTTCTAAAAGACAGATTTTTTTCCAAGCCAAAGAGGTTACACTTTACTTCTGGACACTGAGAGCTATTGGAGTCTGCAGAGCAGGAGAGAAACAGTGCCAAGAAGGCAAATTCAGCAGCTTCATATAGACTTTGTGTAGAGGTTATAGTCAAGAGATCCATGAAGTGGACCATTAGAAAATTCAAGCGTGAAAATGTGGCTTGAAAGAATCAGGTGGAGTTAATAATTTTTTTGGAAGAATTAGATTGGAAGATAAAGGGAAGCAAATCTCCGTGTTACTTTGATCTCAAATACAGATAATTAGGGAAAAAACAAAATTCCTAATAGAACTGGGGAAATGCACAAAGCAATTGATTGCAGGGCAGGAGATAATGGCTGAGGTTTTAGACATTCTGAATTTGAATGATGATGAACTTGTATGTTGAGAAGCTGTGTAACAAATGTAGGCTTGCACCCTGAGTTCTGTTACGTGGGTGGTTTAAAGGGCATTCTCTGAATGTGTGAATCACACTCCTTCCCATCATTAGAAGATAGCTTTGTAAGCATCACCATTTGTATGTCATAAAACTTGAACAGGTGGGACTCGGTACTTGATGGACCATTGTTCATAAATGGTGTGGTTAATTTTAGTAGTCAGTCAGGGAAGTAGTTTGCAGTAGAACTTTTCTATCCTGTAACCCATTCTTGGAAGATTTTAATGGTACATATAACTTCACTGTTGGTAGGAGCTTAAAGTTTACTTATTTTAGTCACTAACCTAAGGGTGAAATTCCTCCATACCACGACTAACTCATGGTTACCCAGGTTATGCTAAAATCCTGCAATGGGCACCACAGGAAGTCTAGTTTATCTTCTGGAAGTTCTAACTAGAATCAGCCTCCTTATCATTTTAGCCATTTTTTTTCTTAGTTCTGCCCTTGAAATTCTATGAATCAAACCAATCATGTATGACAGTCAGTTCATAATTCTGGTAGAAAAACATTTGTTTCTTTGCTTCAAGGCAACTGAAAGTCCCTTCAGTGATGGGAAATTCTTCTCAACTTTTGTTCATTCCATTCCTCTGCCTGCCCCCAAAGTTTTCATACACATTTCATGAAGACCTTGGGTCTCACAAATCACTCTCATGAACCTCGGGTATGAAGTCATGATGATTTTAGAAGTCCCTGTATCCTCTGTGAGCAGTACCTAGCCTCTGAGCCTCTCTCCTGTGCTGTTCCCTCCACTGTCCAGTTTCCTTCCGGGTACTTCTCTATGAGGAGGTCAGCGGGTCTCTCTTACATTCTAGTCTGAAGAAGTTTCTCTCTCTCTCTCTCTCTCTCTCGGATATACTCAAGGCACTTTCTCTTTGCCTTTGGAAAATCAACCTAACTTTAAAAATGATTTTAGTTTTGAGTACTTTTAACTTTCTGTTCAATATAAATTACTGAGGCAAGGAAATACTGGGGGGGCTTGGTGGTTTGTTTAAAATAGGAAAAGAAAAAAATAGAGAGAGAGAATAAACAGAAACCACTATTCAGTTAAATAATCTGGCCACACAAATACAAGCCTTGTTGCATTTGGCAGCTTTTGGAATCCTTGATGACCTGTGGCATCTGTCCTGAGACATCACCGATTGATACAACTTTCTGATGAGGCATATAATCCTGTCAGTTCCTAATTTGGCATGATTTGGAGATTGTAGTTACACATGTGTTTACTTCTTATCTCTATTTTACTCATACCTATAAATAAGCTGCTTGTTATGACTCATGTAGGTAATGGGTCAAGTAAGCCTATGTAAGTATTGACAGCTGAGGATTAACATGCTTGATTTATGAATTCACCAAGATAAACCAGAAGCCATAATCTATCTCTGTCTCCCATGAATGACAGAGATTTTTTTGGGGGACAGGGTCTTTCTGTAGCCACAGCTGGTCTGGAACTGACTATGTAGACCAGGTTGACCTCTATTTCACATATATCCACCTGCCTCTGCCTCCTAAGTGCTGGGATTAAAGATGCTCACCACTGTATCTGACACAATGATAGAGATTCTTAATGAGACACATTTTAACAATGGTCTTCTCTCTTTAGCTGCTAAAATAACTTAATGAGATGACTGCCTTTATCGAATTTTGTCTTGGTTTGTCCATAGGAATTCATGAAGCTCTTATTGATTTGTAGGTAATGAGAATGCTTATGGCATCTACCCTGAAATACCCTTGGAAGAAATGCCAGATGTGGATGCAGACGGAGTAGCCAGCACTTCCTCCCTCAACATTCAAGAGCCATGCTCACCAGCCACATCCAGTGAGTCATTTACTCCCAAGGAGGGCTCGCCTTACAAAGTCCCCATCTACATCCCTGATGACATCCCGATTCCTCCTGAATTTGAACTTCGAGAGTCAAATATGCCTGGAGCGGGACTGGGAATCTGGACCAAAAGGAAGATTGAAATAGGTGAAAAATTTGGGCCTTACGTGGGAGAGCAGAGGTCGGACCTGAAAAACCCCAGTTATGGATGGGAGGTAAGCGGATATTTTGAATTAACACACATATTTGGGTCTCTAAAGAAGGGATTGGTTATGTACATGGCCATGAGTACATTCTGTTCGTTGCAGTGTGCCTTCAAGTAAGTGTTTAAGAACTAACTCCCTTACAATCTCACTCCTTGATAAAAATAATGTGCTGCTTAAAGGGATAGTATGTTAAAAGGGAATCCAACTTAAGAAAGGTTCAAGAATCATATCAACCCAAAAAGACAAAAGGAAGTCAATGTGGTTTTATAGTTACTATTTTGAAACATTAGATCTGGCCATCTTAAATAGCATGTGACATTAGCAGACAAGCATTATCTTTTGGGATGTTTGTTGTATTTTATATCATGGGCGGAGAAAAGTCTGGAATGATTGGGCTGTTTTCTGAACTTTGTGGTTATAGGTTAATTAGGTCTTATTTTCAGTCTATGTTTTCATTTGACAACGTCTTCTTATATATTTTCCTTCTTATCAATAAAAAAATCAGACATTTTATTCTAGATGCTTCTAGAATGCATGCACTGTAGTCATCACTGGAATATGCCATGATTCTTTATATTTAAGTTGTTTTAATGAGTGATTCATGTAGTATGATGACAGCTCAAAATGGTAATGAAAACCAGTCACTAGTTTCAAATAGAAGTCACTGATAACAATATCTAAACTTAATTTTATTTCAATAAGGACAGGTAAGACATTATTCTCAATTTATAATTCTTACATAGATTCAGTATGTGTGTACATATATACACAACTATATGTATTCTTTTGCAACTACATGTATACTTTTGCTTTTTTTTGTTTTTTTCTTTCCTTTGTTTTCTTTTCTTTTTTGAGATAAAGTTTATATAGACCAGGCCGACTTGGAATTCTCAGTCCTTCTGCCTCAGCCTCCTGAGGAAGTGCTGGGAAAATAGGCAGGTACTATCAAGTCTGGATTATTTCTGTAGTTTGAAAAATGTTATGGTTGAATAATAGCATCATAATTTCTGAGAAATCTGGTCTACAGATGAAAAACTTATAGGCAACTTCTACAAAGTGGGAAGCGGTTTAGACATGTGAGGGAACTTTTGTTCACTGTATTTCAGGTAGATGGGAACCAGATAAATGAGATTTATTTTGGTATGTTCTCTTAATATTTATGATCATTAATAGAATATCTGGTTAGCTTTTAAATAGAAATGAGTATGTCGTGCCTTCAGGATGTAATTTCAACTTTTTTCCTCTTCTCCTGTGTGTCGCCTTGCAAAATCTGTTCAAAATTCCATAATAAAACAACTCTTGTTCAAATTCTGAAATGCCAAGAGTTAAGTTCTGACTTTAACATGATTGCAAATGAGAATTCCTTCCTTAGTTTTGTTCCTGGCCGCAGCCTCAGTAAAGATGTGGTTTAGTGAAATTACTTTCAGACATGTGTATCGATAAGAGATTAAAAAAAAAAACAAAACACCTCACTGTAGCATTAATGGATATGTGAGTTGAATATGTTTTAAACCAAATGCGTACGGACTTTACGTCATTATTGTTCACCTTAAAATAATGGCTGTAAACAGTCTAATAATAAGTAACTCATTAAACTTTTATTACAAAATCTTCAGAGTTAAACAAGTGCAATCCTGCTCAAGGTGATGCAGAAGGCTGGGAATAAACTGAGCTTAATCATGAAATCAGTGTGCAATTACAGGATGGCAAGTGCAGGCTATGGCCTCTTTAAACATGCCTGTGGATTGGGGATGAACCTGGGGAAAATTCTGCATTTAGAGAAAATTTAAAAATAATTATATTTTTCTCCTTGGAGGAAAATGTCTTCCACATATACATGAGCAAATATTTACCTTGAGCAATATAGAATGATTTCTTCCATTATGTCAAAACCAAGCTGTTTTTATTACTTAGAATTCAGGATGCCTTTGTGAAATAGTTCATGGAGCTTGCTTGCTTTGTTTCCTGTGAGAATCCAGTCAAGGGACAATTCTACATACCATTTTAATGCTTGCCTTCTTAATTTTTTTTACATTTATTTATTTGTGTGTGTGTGTGTGTTTGTGTATGTATGTATGTCTATGTGTTTGAGTGCCACATATATATGGAGGTCAGAGGGTAACTTGTGGGAGTTAGTTCTCTCTTTCTACCATGTGGCTACTTGGGATTGAACTCAGGTCATCAAGCTTGGTGGCAAGTACCTTTATCCACTGAGCCATCTCACTGACCCTCCCCTCATTATTTTTGTATATTTTTATTGAATTTTTGTGTATTTCATACACAACATCTTAATCATCTTTATACCTGCTTCCCCAATGGTACCCTCCCATACCTCCACCCCACCGTATTTCATCCATTCTGTGGCTTATGTTAAGGTCTCTCAAGTCAAGTTTGTGTCCCCAGATATCCCTCAGTGCAAGTTCATCCACTGAGGTCAGGTCAGCCTATCTAGAGTCCCTCCCTTAAAGAAGATCTGCTCTTCCTTACCCAGCAGTAATCAGCTGCCGGTAGTTCCTTGGCTAAGGTTGGGGCCTGCTGTGGATTGTCTGCTCTGGTAGTATAATGAATAAGACCACCAACAAGGCTCTTCACGATTTGGGCAGATGCTATTCACGGATGTGCAGTTGAGTTCTTGACTCCATTTTATTTTTTTTAAGTCTTAGTTAAATAAAAAATCCATTCATAATTAACCAAGGCACTTTCACAAAGCATCTTGCCCCATTCCTGTGTGCCCTTTTTAAATTGCCCTTATGTCATATATACCTTTAATTATAGCTCATTCCCTTCTTACCTGATTAGTTGGATAATTGTGTTCCAACTACTGTGATCCCTTTTTCTGAGATGACTTCATTTTTAAAAATGATGAATTGAAGGAGACACCCCCCCAACTTCTTAGTCACCCTGAAAAATTAACATGAATGAGGAAATCCTGATTTGGCAAGCAAGAATGAGTGTATATGTGTCAAATTCTACATTTTCCCTCTCCAGACACTTAGCTTGTTCTAACCTAGCATCTTGGTACTATCTAGAATGTCCATGTTCTTTTCTCTCTCCTCAGCTCCTCTTTGTTTTTGTGCATTTCTTATTTTAATCAGTTGCATTACCTTCTACCTAGTTGTTGAAGGCAAAAAATGTGTGTCTTGACTGTGCTTGCTTCCGCCCCAACCATGACTCATTGTCGTTCTCCTCCTCTCTCAGACCTGTTCATTACATGAGCTGTTCTTCTTGGGAGTCTCCTTCCTTAGTCATTCTTGAGATTTTTGTCTATCCCTTGTCCATGGACGTGTGCTACTTTCACAACACTACCCACAACCTCCCAATCACAATTTGGTATTCATGTGTGCGTGTTCTTCATGATATATATTTATATATGAGAACTTATTATATATGTAGGTGCTTGTCTCTGTTACCTGACAGAGCAAGGCTTCTTTGAGAGCCTCTTGGTGCAGTCTTGATGGTGTTTCACAAGTTTTTGTGGCATGACCAGTGCTCAGCAAGTTTCTTACAAAAATAAGAGGACTGTATTAGTCAGCTCAGGCTGCCATAGGCTGTGGGTTTAAACAGCAGAAATTATTTTGTATCACAGATCTGGAGACTGAAAATCCAAGACTAACATTCTAGTTGATTCTGTTTTGGGTGAGGGCTTTGGTGAGGGCTTGCGGACAGTACCCATGTTGGGGATCAAACTTAGGACTTGTGCATACTAACGTAAGCACTCTACCACTAAGCTGTCTCTCCAGTCCTTGTAATAGAATGAAATTGGGCCAGGGTGGTACAGATAGGGAAGGTACCTAAATACAACAAAAATATGGTGTGTGAAATTCACAAAATTCAATTAAAAAGAAAAAAAGCTGATTCTATTTTCCAAATATGGTACTGTGGAAAATCCTTTAAGTTTATATTCTAAAGAAATAGGATGTTTTTGAACCCATAATTTATAGGCTAAAATGTACATATAGGTAAAATACCTCAAGAAGTACTATTAGCACATTTTCTCTCAAGTCCATATTGATTTAAGGAGAAACTTCTTAATATTGGGCATAATAGTAATTATGATACTGTAATTTATGTCAGTAAAGTCATCCAATGAGTGTTGGATGAGATTCTCTATTGTATGTGCATTGCTTAGCACAGAGCTAGTAGAAGGACACAAATCCTCACAGGGAGGCAACGTGGCTAGACTGCAAGTCCAACACTGGGTCAGTGCATCAAGCAAAGGCCATTTGTTATGCCTCAGCTTGATTTTTATAAGTTCTTCTTCTCCCTCCCTCTTCTTGTTTCCGAGAAGTTCAAGTATCTCTAGAATGCTCTAAATTATGTGGCTGTGCCCTTATTTGAAAAGGAAGCACTGACTGTTTCCTAATTAACAATGAAAACAGGGATTCAAGACAGATTCATACACACTTTTAAGTCAAAGAACTTGAGTGGTATAGTTTTTAACAGTCTGAGATAATTATTAGAAAAATATGTAAAGTTAGCTTCTTTGAAATATTGTCATTTAGCACATTTATTATTAAGGACCATCATAAAACTCTGCATGTATGTGTGTGTCAGTTATTGATATGTCCGCTGTGTGCCAAACCCCTTAGCATGACCAGCTAATCTGGAATTGCTCCAAATTAGTGCAATAAGTTAAAATTCAAGATATGAACTTAGCTTTTCTTCTGCCCATCTCTCTCTCTTTCACACACACACACACACATATTCATACATAGAAAAATATTGCCTTTTGTAGACAGTAAATTTCTTTTATGTTCTGTTAACTAGATGAGACAGAATAGTGGAAAGAGATTTTCCTGGAGTCAGAAATTCATCATCTAATTTGATTCAGTGCTTTGAAAATACATTATGTTCTAGTACTATAATCCAGAAATGCAATATTGCAGTGGGGGTATGCTCTCTTATCTCATTTTAAAACAAACAGCTCTCACAAGCTCCCTTCAGTTTGATTTTGGGTTGTGCAATGGTAGCTCAGATAGTAAAACATGAAATCCGTATTTTATGTGAAACATGAATATCCATTAACACTTCAAGAACATTGCACTCTCAAGATGACAAACAACCACATCAGAGTTAAGAGAACAATTTGTGTATCTGTAGAGCCAGATATCCAAGAT